ATTTTCATTTTCCTTGACACTGCTGCGCCCCCCTCCTCCTCCTCCCCTCCCTCCCCCTGGCTCAGCGGCTGCATCGTGGAACCACTTTTCCCATCACTTGGAAAACCAGAGCTGTTCAGGACGAGTTGAGGTTGTTGTGAACAGTTGCTCGCCACATAGTGTCATAGTCGCCGCTTCTCTTGTCTCGCCCTCCCCCTCCCTCTCTTTCCTCCATCGTCTCAGCGTGCCAACATGTCAAACCAAAGCGTGTTTAGCACGATCGCTAGCCTTTTGTTGCGCTTCGGCGGAACAAACAAGTTTCAGTATTATGACGTTCCAACCTACTTCTTTAGCTTTGACCACCAGGAAGAATTTCGAGCACCAAGAAAGTACCGAAACTCTATGGTTTTCACGTGTGCCCCCCCCCCCCCTCCCTCTCCCTTCCTCTCCCTCTCTCTCTCTCTCTCTCTTTCTTTTTCCCACAGCGTGGTCCGTCGGAGGTCTAGACTCCTTCCCGGGGGGCCAGTTTTCTACCCCGAGTCTCTTCATGAAGGCTCCGCTCCAACACGCCGCGGTTTTGCCCCACGCCGGGGAGGCCCCGGTTCTCGGACTGGGGTCAACACATCGGCCCCAGAATTTGCCCAGCCCGCGCGTGGGTCTTGGACAGGATTCGAGAAGAACCCAGCCGTGGCGGCGAGGCCCCCCCGAGGCCCAAAGAGGCCCCCCAGACGTCCAACGCCTGGATGCTCGATCTTCGATGCTCGATCATGGGACAGCGCGGTCCTCGATCTTCGATCCTCGATCTTCGATCCTCGGTCTTCGATCTTCGATCTTCGATGCTCGATCTTAGACTCGATCCTCGATCCTCAGTCTTCGGTCCTCGATTCGATTCGATCCTTGTCCTCGATCTTCGATTCGATCCTCGATCGCCGTTCCTCGTCTTCGGTGTTCGATCCCCTCCCGCGCAGGGGATGGTGGGCTGCGCGGGCTTCTCCGCTGAGACGCGCATACAGGTGCGGGCCGACAACCCGAAGAAGGCTGGCGGCGCGGCCGCCGCCAGGTACGACGGCTACAAGAAGGCCAAGACGGTGCAGGAGCCAGCAGTCTCGGGACGGACGAAACGGTAGGATAGGGAAAGGGGGTGTTATGAATTCTGCTGCATGCAGCTGTTTTCCACCTCGCCGCCTGGCCCATTCCTCGATACATGGGCGCCTCCTAGCGCCAGGAGGCTCCAGGAAAACCAGCTACGTGAGCTGATGCTCTACCCTGCCCTTTGCCATCATACCCTTTCGTCCACCGCGACGGTAGAGAACGGAACATGCATGACCATAAACTTTTGGAGCTCCGCGGTCATTTTTTAGATTGACGCTGGCCCTTCCTGGCGGCGCCTCCAGCGCCGCCTCCGTCGCGCTCCGCGCGCCAGGGAGTGAGGTCCAGCGCCGATCCAAGAATTCGGCGCGGAGCTCCGACGGATTGTGCTTATGCAGGTCTGTTTATTCCTCTGCCCAGCCTCCCCCCAGTTTTTGCACCTTCGATATCTCGCGGTCGGCCTCTTGAGGCCATCTGGAGGCCGCTCCTGGTTCCTGCGACCGTCCAAGCAAGACTCGGGGTCTAACATTCGGCCCCGAAGAGGACCCGCGCCCGACTTTGAGATCCGGGCGTCGCAACAGAGCGCGACGGCCAGTTTTTTCGCTGCCGCCGGCCTCTGGTGACCGTTTCATGGGCTCCGGGCTGTCAACGAGCGGCTCGGGATGGAAAGCAGGGAAAATCGTTCGAGATCCCCCGCGGGCCACGAGAAGGATGCGACGTCGGAGGAGGGGGAGATGTCGGCGTCACTCCAACATACTTACACTATATGTGCCTCGCCTCCAAGGAGGACATATAGTATTAGTATGTCCCTGTACGTCGAAAGATGCGCCTGAGATCCCCAGAGGCCTCCTGAGGTCTTCTGGAGTTCTTGGATTCCTTTTGAGGTCCCCGCAGGCCTTCAGGGGTCCGAGCGCGGGCCCAACCTGCTGCTTCTGCCCCGTCGCTTTTCCAAATCGGCATCTCCTCCTTGTCGCACCCCCAAACGTGTTGGTAGGGCGGACCGGGCGTTTCTCCTGAGACTTCCTCGCCTTTTGCAGTCTTGAACCTTGAAGTTCGTGATCCATTCAAGGACGGAGGGTGGACCGTTTTCAAAATGTGGCTCTCGATTCAGCGCCCCGCGCAGTCGCTTCAAGCATTCGGAACAGCTTCAAGTTTCAAGGATGGGTGGCGCGCCGTTTTTTGATGTGGGTCTCGCCTTAGCGCCGCGCACATTCGTCTGGAAAGTGAAAACAGTTTCAATAATGCAGGGCAAATCCTTTTGAGCATGCGGCTCTCGCCTTATCGCCGCGCGCATTCGTTGTAAGGAATTGCAGCAGTTCGCATGGTTCGTAAGTTTGAAGTCCCAAAATTGTTTTCTGGCACGATCTAGGATTTGCCAGGACGCAACACTCACGTTCATCAGCGGTGTTCAGGCTCTTGGAACTTAGTTCTTGCACGATTTGGGATTGTCAGGACGCCACAGTCACGTTGACTCGCGGCGTTGAAGGCTCAGGAGTTGGGTTTTGGTACGAGGTAGCATTATCAGACGGTTGCTTTTCAACGGGGCACTTCCCGTAATGATCATGTAGTATTGCAGGGGCTTGTGGACAGGGAACTTGGAGGGAGGATGCATTGCATCATCGTTGATTCTCCTTGGGTTTCATGTGGTCCTCGTCATCCTCACTCCTCTCTTCTCTGGGGAGCCCAAAAGGTTCCGATACCGCTACTCCCTGGACCTCTCCCGGGCAGCGTTCTGAGTGGGATTTCGAGGCGAATCCAGCGGTGGCCACGAGGGCCTCCGAGGAGGCCTAAAAGGGGACAACGGGCGAGGGGGTAGAGGTATGGGTACCTTTCCCTCCTCTGATTTTTTCCGCTCATTCTTCTGGTCTGTTTCCCGACCGGAGAGCGTGGTGAAGCCCTTCGTCCCGATGTGGAGGCGCAGGGCACCGGAAAACTCCAGCTTCCCGTCCTCGAAGGTGGGGCTCGTTTTTGCGGACGGGTCGGGGCAGGATCAGACGCAACCGTCTCCCGGAGTGGCAGGATGGGCGGTGGTGCTTCTTGACGTTTCTCCAAGATTTGCCAGGGTCCTGCCGAGTTTCTCGACTGCTGGCACGGCCAGGGACGGGGAAAGCTGTGACATGCAAGGTGCTCTCAGCACATCCTGGGGTGCCTCACGGCCTGAGTGGACTGCAACGGCACCCTCGGCTGGTGCCTCTCGGTGAGGACTTTGCGGCCCTCCCCTTCGTGCACGTGGAGGCTCGATCAACGTCCAACGATGTTAGGGGGCCACATGCGAACCCTACCCCTACCCCCCACGATTTCTGAGGGGGAGGGTGGGGTTCACTTCGTTCGGGAGGCCCAGCTCTCGAGAGGGTGCCCGTGGGTCGTGATGCTCCAGCCTATCAGGAGCGAAAGAAGGGCATACACGTGCATGAATCCAGGCTGGTTCCGAGAGTACGCATTGCGCGAATCTTCGCATCGCGCGGCGGGGCTCGCGGATCGAGGGGCCTTGTTCATGTACATAGCTGGGCGCGTACGTCCTTTGTGGGCTCCCTAACCTACTTTAGCCTTGATCACCAGGAAGAATTTCGAGCGCCAGGAAAAAGTGCCGAAACTCAAGGGTTTTCACGCGTCGGGCCCTGGGACACGCTCGCCCGACACTGTTTCGACACTGTTTCGACACTCTTTTGACACTTTTCCGGGTGCTCGAGATTATTTCTGGGATGTGGTCCTCAAGTAGGATGGGAGCACCATAACCCGTGGGTTGCCAAGCTGGCCTGTCAGTTGCTGGCCCAGCTGACGGCCATGACGGGGGCTCAGGATCTCCGAGACAGTGTGGGAGTTGATGCTCTAGGGGGCTGCCCCCCCCCCCCCCCCTTCCAGGCTTGTTCGACTCTCTTGCTCGTGCTGGGTCTCCTGATGCTGCCGATGCTCCCCCCCCCAGGCCCTCCGCCAGAGGACCCCGAACGGCTTGTGGAGCCGGGCGTTCCGGCCGGGAGGGTGAAGCAGCGCTGTCTGGTTGAGCGTCCTCCTCCTCCTCCTCCTCCTCCTCCTGTTCCTCCTCCTGTTCCTCCCCCTCTTCCTCGCCACGTCCCCCCTCCTTCCACCTGATCGGCCCAATCCAGCAAGCGATTCAAGCAATCTGCGATCGAGGGAGCCCGATGTGATGTGTGTGCCACGCCTGTGCCCGTGCCGGTGCGTCTCGGCCAGAGCATCCCCTGGCGGGGCCCAGGAGTTCCTCGCGCTGGGCGGCTGGGTCGGAGACCTGAGGAACGACTATGCGAAAGGCTACATCACCCTGCTGGACAAGAAGGGTTCAGGCTGGCGTCGCGGAGGAACTCGGAGGAGCATGAAGGGAGGATGAGGACGAGGAGGAGGAAGAGGAGGAGCAGGAGGAGGAGGAGGAGGAGCAGGAGGAGGAGGAGAAGGAAGAGGAGGAGGAGGAAGAGGAGGAGGAGGAGGAGGAGGAGGAGGAGATAGGCAAAAGCAGGAGCAGGAACAGCAACAGCAGGAGCAGGAGTAGTTGGCGAAGCACCTGCAGGAGGACGAGGAGAACCATGAGGGTCAGCATTCTGCTCCCAGAGCCAGAGGCCTCACCGCTCCCAGAGCCTGCGGGGGGGGGGGGGGGGGGCGAAACAGCCCCCAGGACCCCCCGCCCGACCCTTGCCGAAGCCTTCCGCGTCCTGGTCGGGCCTCTGCGCCCGCGTCGGCCTTCTGCTGCAATGTTCAACAGCCTCCCGCCCGACCCTTGCCGAAGCCTTCCGCGCCCTGGTCGGGCCTCTGCGCCCGCGTCGGCCTTCGGCTGCAGCAGCCTGGTCTTCTTCCCCCGACGTGCCCCGACCGCCGCCGCAGCCTCGCCCGGGCCGCTGTCCGCGCGGGGGGATCCCCGGCAGGCCGGGCGCCGCTCCGCCACGGCCGCAGCGGACGGGAAGGCCATCGGCCCATTGCCTCGTCGAGGGGATCGTCAGCAGGGGGCGTTCCAGAAAGGGCCTCTCGAGGATCGAAGGAGTTGCCTTCCCTTTCTCGGCGGGAGCTGGCGGAAGGCGGCGGAAGTAAAGCGAGGCCGCTTCCCCCAATGGAAGCCGCCGGAAGGCTGGCGGCAGTAACAGATGCGCCCCCCCCAAGAGATGACACGTGTTCGGGATCGAGGATTTCCGGAACGGCCCCATGTGGGCGTGCCAGGGGCAGCGTCGGAGAAGGACAGCAGCTCCACCTTGCTGGGTGGGAAGCGGGCTCACGGCCACAGTCAAACTGTGGGCCCCCCTCCCGCCCTCAGCCCGGCCGTCTCCCAGAGGTCCTGTGGTCCTCTCGGTGAGCGGGCAAGGGACCCAGAGGCAGGGAGCCAGGTGGGCAGCAGCTCGGCAGGCACACGCTCGCTGCCCGAATGCTTCCATTCGTGAGGCTCCGTGGGAGGAGGAGGAGGAGGAGGAGGAGGAGGAGGAGGAGGAGGAGGAGGAGGAGGAGGAGGAGGGAGGAGGAGGCGGAGGAGGAAGGAGGAGGAGGAGGAGGAGAGGAGGAGGAGGAGTAAGAGTGATGAGAAAGAGAACGGAGTAAGCAGAGAAGACAACAAGAAGAAACGACTAAGAAGAAGGAAACAGCATGAAGAATAATAAGAGTAATAAGAAGAAAGAGGAGGAGGAGAGGGGAGCAGGAGGAGGAAGAGAGGAGTAGGGAGAGTAGGAAGTCGTAGGAGGAGAAGGAGGAGGATGACGAGGAGCGAGGATGACGAGGATAACGACGATGACGAGGATGACGAGGATGACGAGGATGACGAGGATGACGAGGACGACGAGGAGGACGAGGATGACGAGGAGGAGGAGGAAGAGGAGGAGGAGGAGGAAGAGGAGGAGGAGGATGAGGAGGGGCGGAGGAGGAGGAGGAGGAGGGAGGCGAGGATGATGATAGGAGGAGGAGGGAGGAGAGGAGGAGGAAGCGAGGAGCGAGGAGCGAGGAGCGAGCTGACGAGGATGACAGGGATGAGGAAGGATGAGGAGGAGGATGAGGAGGAAGGATGAGGAGGAAAGAATGAGGAGTAGGAGTAAGAGGAGGGGGAGGAGGAGGGAGGAGGGGAGGAGGAGGAGCGGAGGAGCGATGAGGCGAGGAGCGAGGATGACGAGGAGGAGAGGAGGAGGCGGAGGTGCGGAGGAGGAGGAGGAGGAGGAGGAGGAGGAGGAGGATGAGGAGGAGGAGGAGGAGGAGGACGACAAGGAGGCTCCATGGGATTTTCGTTGCTCGGGTGTGTTGGTATGTTCCCAGACGTCGGGGCGGCTCTCCGGCTCACCTTCCGATGACGATCTTGCCGCGGGGGCCATGAGGAGAATGAGGCAGGCGGAGGAGGAGAAGGTTCATCACCAGGATTAAACCAGACATGTCCCTCTACAGGAGGAATATGCTAAAAACTGTAAAACAAGTCTGGGGACGATTTTGATTTTTGACTATATTCTCAGTAGTTTATTTTTCAACCAAAATCCGCCTGTAGGAGGATATACCCGACCTAACACCAGGACCAGGACCAGGCATATGGGACGTCTCCTCGAGGTCCCCTGACCAGCAACAGGCCCCGTGCGTTGATGCGCTCCTGCCAGACATTTCCGTGCGGCTTCTCCGTTTCCCTCCTCCCCTACCTTGCCCTCCTCCTCCTCCTCCGCCTCCTCCTCCCGCCTGCTTCCCCCTCCCTCCGCAGCGTGGCGCCACGCAGCTGTACTTGCGTAGCTCTTGATCTGCCAGGGCGCCGTGCGAGCGCCGGGGCTGGACCGACCGACCCCGAGGTCCCCGCGGAGCTCCAGGGGCGCCCCCCGGGGGCCCTCCACGGGGCACCCCCGAGGCCCCGGAGCGACGCCCGAGGCCCTCAAGCCTCGAGCCCTGATCGTCGGCGGGAGCCTCCTCGAGCCACGGGAAGGAGGCGTCCGTCGACGGTGGAAGGACCAGCCAGGAAAGCCAGAGGGGAACCAGGAGATCGGTGGGCGAACGGAGGCAGTTCTCCCGGGTCGACTGGAAGATTGTTTGGGGCCGGACTGGGGAAAACCGAGGACGTCGACCGCGGAAAGCTTCCTCGCCGAGGGGGGGCACTTTTTTTCACGGTGAGGGTCTTGGTCATTACAAGGCGCTCAGCCGTTTGTGCAATCCAGCTTGTGTAGTTTTTTTTTATGGAGTGAGTGGCTTTACCTTGCCCTTGTTAGGCGTCATCAGGCATGCGCGTGAGTAGAATCTGGGAGGGGGGGGGCCTTGGGACGATCTGAACGACGCATCGCCGCGTTGCCGTCTCAAACGGTTGGCGCCCTAAACTTGAAAACTCTGCCCCGCCTGGAAGGCCTCGCCAGGCATGACGTTTTCAAAAACCAGGGCGGGGGGCACTTGGGCGGCGACTCCTGCGCGTGCTCTGGGCTCTCTGCTTGTGCCCTGGGCTTTATACCTGTGAG